CTGACATAATTGTTAATAGCCCTACCACCCAGTTTGGTCCATAAATTACAGGGTCATCTACAAGAACCTGCTAGAGCAGGAAAGGTCTCAGACATTCATCTTTACCACCAATCTTATCTCACACAAATGCGACTGGGATCCAGGGAGGGCCTGCCCACGATTACTCTTTTGGATTGTGTCCCTCTGCAGCCTGTCCCATTCCTTCCTGTGGGGGAGGAGTGGAGGCGTGGACCATGTATCTTGTTGATGCCCCAACTCCATCCAGAACTCTCCTTTTGGTGGACCTGAGGTTCATTTCAATTGTCAAGGCAGGGCCATACCATGCCGCATCTGCCACAGACAAAGCCACAAGCACAGTGCTTGGGCGGTGGAGACCCCCCTCCCTGGACAAGGAGAAGCAGCCAGATCATCTTTCAGGTTCCTCCCGCTCCCACAGCCTGAGCTTCTCAAAAGACTGGCTGAAGCTTCTCTTCTGTCAAGTGCTCACGGACCACTTTATCACAGCGGCTGTCCATCATCTCTCTAAGAATATTAACATCCTGTGACTTTTTTTTTTTGGACGAGTGAGGGTACCTATCTTACCCTCATTCATCTAAAGCACAGGTGGTAAACACAAGGCCCACGGGCCGAATCCGGCCCTCCATGTTGTTTTATCTGGCCTGGCACCTTGTTTCTACCTGGCAGCAGTGCCAAGCTCCTTGCCCCTGGTTAAGGAGCAGTTATACTTATACAGTCCTAAAATTACATTTGGTCCTTTGAAGGCAACTGCGAGGCTGATGTGGCCCCCAGTGAAAATGAGTTTGACACCCCTGATTAAAGAGATACATATATAGATAGCAATGATAAAAGCAGCTGAAAACTGTATTTATGATGTGCCGGGCATTGTTCTAAGAAATATATATATATTCCCATCACAAACATAAGTAATATGAATGTCTCCCCATTCAACAGGTAAGTACATTGAGGTACAGAATGGTTATATCACACAGCCAGAGAGCAAACAAGCTGGAACATGAACCAGACAGTCCAGCTTTTTAGCCACCCTGTTCTAGTTTTTTTCCTGAACATATATATAAAGATATGTGTTCGACATTCCTATAAGAAGTAATCACCAGGTCAGTCAAATCTCAGCTGTAAAACACTTGCAGTTCACAGAAGAAGGTGCTATTTAAATATAAGAGGTCATTTCACCTCGACTTTATAGCCCCCTTTATCAATATCACTCAGCCTCGTAAAACCACAGGTGTGTTGGGGTGCTCTATAAAAACAGGTGGTTTTGTGGGCTGTGTTCACACTTACGGAACCCAGTGTGTCTGGGCATGATTACTATGTGCTTCTTGGTTATGCGGGATCTTCCATGGGGGGTGGGCATGAAAAGAGAGTGAGAGCAGAAAGCGGAAAGCAGTGGTCCTCCTCAAGAGGACCTGCCCTGCCTCAGGGTCTGCCCACCAGCCTCTCCTTTCCCAGGAGTCCTCCTTTTTCGTTCCTTTCCTCGTTTTCCAGAAGGACCAGGGATCGCCCACTGGCCTCTTTTCCCTTTCCATCTGCTGCCCAGTGGTGGAACCTGCCTGCTTAAATCTTACTTATTAACTGCGTGTAGATATGGCAGACTACGATTACAGTAGAATTATTTGGGAGCTCAGTATCTCACTTCTTCCCACGAACCTTACCCTGGGAATTGCTTTGTACTTGTGTATTGCCATGTGGTGGTGTGTCTTTAATAACCATCAATAAAGATAGGCCTGGGAAAACACGAAGAGCCACAGACTCCTCTAAATTCACCTGATTGCAACAGAGTAGAGCTGTCTGCAAGGGCACCCTGGGTGCCCAGAGGTAGTCACAAGCAGTAGTTAAAGTTAACCCATCCTTGTGGTTCAGCAACTGAAGAAAGCTTGGGAAAATATCCTGATCCTCTGAGGGTTCCATTAAATTGCCAACAAAATATACTTCTTGAAGCCAAATCTCATTTATGCATTCACTCTCCAAATATGTGAAAGTTATTTCAAGTTCAGGTAATTGGAAATTGGATGGTTTTAACCCCTGACTGTATTGTGTGACTACCATCAGCACAGGTTCACTGGATACAAAGAAAATAAGCTAGGACTCCTCCCTCCTGTCCAGATGACAGGTACTTCTGGACACCCAGGCTAGGTCTGTCCCGGGTGCCAGACTTTAAGGGTAGGTAAGGAGGGTATAGAGGATTGAAGAGCCACCCAGGACAAGGATTTCAAGTACTTGAATGGGACTGTTGGGCCCTCTGTGACTGTGGCAGCCCGCCAGATAAAGGCCACAGCTGGATACATGTGACCTACCACAGCTTGGTGATCCCCTCGAGAAGCCAGTAACACTCTGGGACTTTATCAGGAGCTCCGCGTGGGTCACAAAAGCCTGTGCACACCAACAGGTCACGACAGGCTCCCCTCCCTCACTCCTCTCAGATTTCAGCCAAGGCTGGCCTTGGAAGTCTGACCCTGCAAAAGGAGTGGTTCTTTTTCTCCTCCTCACTCAATGTCTCACCCCAAGCACTCTCCCCAACCTTTCCAGTCTATGGGATTTTAGGTTATGCCCTCAGTCTGCAAGGGCCCTCAGTCACAGATGAGATCTTCCCAGGAATCCTCTCAGAAGACGCTGGATGCTGAATTAAGTGGCAGTGGCCTCAGCCCAGGAGGGACTAAGGCCATCACCTTTCCAAGTCTTTTCCAGAGTCTGCTCAGTCATCTTCACACTCAGTGAGATTCCTTCCCCTTACTCGCTGCTCTACCACCCCTGGCTTCTCACTGTGAGGAAGGACTTCTCTTTGTTCCAAAGATGTATCCTCTGGATTACTAATATTCTATACTAAATTGTCCCCTCTGTTCCACTTTCTGGAAATCTTGTTGCCTCTGGCTGAGAAAGAAAAGGTTGTTCTCTCCTGGCCTCTCATCTCCCTGTCCAGCCTTGTCTCTAGACTACTACTTTCCAGAAAGCTCATCTATCCTATACCCTGTGACCCCAGTGGCCCAGAGCCCAGCCAAATGTCTCCTGCACTGATCACTAGAATCTTCTCTCTCCTTTCCTGGGCTTCCCACCAAAGTCCCTCTAAGGCTATATATGACAAAATGCCATAATGGACTAAAAAGCGCCTCGTCAACTGTCAAGCACTACTAAGCAGGGAAACAGGTACCTCCTACTCTGTGGAAGAAACCAGAAGGTCCCCACCAAGCTAGAATTCACCAGTCCTAAGCTGCAGTTGTGGCAGCTGCCTGGAACATCTTCGTTCATGCTGTTCCCTAAGCCTGATATCTAAAAGGAGAATATATATTTCACATGCAAATGCCATTTACCAACCACTTGGAAAACCCCTTACATTTCTCACCTTTCCTTCTGTTAAGTGTGAAGTCAACCAGCAGCTTGATGTGATCGTGCTCCAGTGCCTTCACCACATTAGCATCGTGCCTCCTCTGGTCCTGAGAAAAGCTTAGTATTGATGGAACACAGATTCAGGGGCTGGAAATATTCTCTCCCCTAATCTTCCTTTCAGAGCCCAAGTAAGGGAAATAGGTTGGCAATTTTAAGAATGCAGAGATGACATGTGGTGTGGCTTGGCTTGGTTTGGTTGAAGGAGAGGCAGGCTGACTGTTCTGTGTGGCCCCTGCAAGTGGCTTCCTATCTCCTGGAACTCAGAAATCAAGATCTCTTCTTTTCCTGAGGTTATAGAGTGATGAGCAAATCCAAGAGAGAGTCACAATGCAGCGAGCCTGGAGTTTAACCATGCTCTGCACTGGGCATATTCTATCATACCACCAAAATCACTCACCAGCATGTAGCTCAACTAGAAAACCCATTTTGGTGGTAATGCTAGTCATTTGCTATAGATGGTATTTCAAAATGTTCTCATATAGATATGGTGGGGTGGGTTTCTAGACTGCTGGGCAGGAAACTGTAGCCTATTCTGGTTTTGCTACACCCTCTCTGGGGATATTGCTTGACTTTGGGCAAGTCACTTCTTCCTGGGCTCCATTTTCCAATGCATTCAATGAATGGGCCAATTCAGCCACCTTAGGTCCTTTCTGCATTTCCCTCCCCTTTCCTGTAAGCTGGAAGATAATGCAAAGATAATAATGATGGTGATTCTAATTAAAATGTTATATACATTCATTCTATATTACTTTTCAGCCCTAAGTTTTGCCTGAATTGTTTTCCTGGGTAGCAGATTTTTTGGGAAATTTGATCTGTTATCACCACGTGAGCACTATCAGCAAGCCAAACAAATGAACATCCTGGGTTCAAAGGGGCTGGGGTTTGCTCCACCTTCCTGAGCCTTCCAGGGGCCCCCACAAGCACAAGCCAGGGTGTAGTTCTCAGCCTTTACCACACAAGGGTACAAGTCAGATCCCTCGAAATGACCTCTGGCATCCCTGGCTCGAAGGCTTGCCTCACTGCAGGGCTGCTCAAAGGGTAAAAGGTTAGCCAAGAGCACATTTAGACCCTTCTCACCAAGCTGCTATGGCCAAGCCAAATGTGGGAGTTAAGGGCACCCTGCCCCCATCCCATTGGGAAAGGCTTGCTTGGCAACCACCCTCTTACAGAGCCCATTGGAAAGTGCACATTCCCGCAGTCTCACTGGCTCTAGTCAAGTTTTCCAAGAGGCGGTGAGGGTGGTGGAAAGCACTACAGGCTGCTGTTAGCCAATGTTGAAAGCTTCTGTCTTCCACCTCCACCCCCAGTTTGTAGTCTGAGGTCTCAGCTTGGCCAGGAACCAACTAGGCAGTTTTGTTCAGAAGAAGCAACTTATTTTTATCAAGGTGGAACGCAGAGTTGCAATTCTTTGTAATGCCTCTGCCTGGCAAGCAGGACTCTTGCTCCAAATTCCAGGGAATCCTCTTCTCTCCCTAGACATTTGGTTTTCTTGTTTATCCTTTTTGCCACCCAAAAATTGGGTACAGAGCAGCTACAGTACCACAGAATTAAAAGACAAAAAAGAGTTTTGGAAATTCAAAGTGTCTTTATTAACGTGTCTATTTTCATCCAGGTTATGGTGGTGACAGCTCTATAAACCCTAGTCTAATCTTACCTGGGACCACAGTGCTGTGGTGTGATGGAAAGAGCCCCAGCTGGCTTCTGGTTTAAGGTGCTGTAGACCTTTGTGCCAGACCTTTGCCCTCTCTGAAGCTCAGAACCCCCTTGTCAGTAGAGACCGCCTGCCTCAGTCCCCTCAATCTTTTGGGGTCACAAAATGCTTTGAAACTCTTGTTGAAAGCTATGGACCTTCTCTTCAGGAAAAAAAAATTACTCATTTGTTCATTCTTTCAAAAAGTATTCAAAGAGACACATTTTGAATTCCATTCCATGAGCTCTATAGGCTCTCCAGGAGTTCATCCATGGACCTTCAGGTAGGAAGTCTCAGTTATGAATTCTGCTGTGACGAACATATATGGACTCTTATCTAGAAGAACAATAATAATAATTCTAGTAAAGGATCATAAAACTACCAGTCAGGCAGGTGCCAGAAAACGAAGGCACAGAGGCAGTCATTAAGAAGGTGATCTCAGGCTTCCCTCCACTTCGGGGTGCCCCCACCCACCAGCTCGGCACGCGTGCAGGCAAAGCCGGGAGCACAACCGCCTGAAACGTGCTGTTTCTGGGCACTCTGACTACAAGGAGCTGGCTGCAGCCCTGGAGAGACGACAAACATCTCTTTTCTATCCGGGACTTTATTTTTCTCACGGCCTGTGAAAGGGCTGCGATCAGGTGATATGTGTGGGACTGCTCCCGGGTACAGGTGCGGAGCAGGTACGGAGGGGAGGAGAAAATCCGCCCAGTGTGTACTTACTCAAGGACTCTTTCAATAGCTCTCCCAGGATAGCTCTTGGCAGGGTAGAGACCATGTCTCTGGCAGGCTGCAGGGAATCTGAGTGTGAGAAAGTCAGTCAAGCGGAGGAAAAGGGGGAAAAAAAGCTTCAAGTCCTCAGGCAAAATACCTTTTTTTCTCCTCCTCTTGCTCTCTCTCCTTTCTGTAGCTTTAAACCAAACCTGCAAACCATTCCAATACCTCAAGACAAAGGGAACTCTCACTACAGATGCATTATTTATTTTATAGTTTAAAGCAAACAGGTGAAGCAATAAGATAGAAAGAATCCTCCTTTTGGGGGCAGAATGGGGAAGGAGAAAACTTACTGGGCATGATACAGTGGAAACCACACCTGGTGTGTGGCTGGTCTTGCAGTGGGATCAAAGAAATGACTGCTAAAGAACAGGGTTCAATTTTCTCTTTGCTTTAAGCGAGAAAGGAGGATGACTGAAAAATAAAAGCTGCTCCCATATAAGAGGAGCCTTCCAAATCCAAAAGTCTATTCTTCAGTTTAGGAGCTTAGTTCTCCATTTGAGAAAGGGTGGAGAAAGTGTCAACTTGGTGTTATTTTCAATGCCCATTTAGTCTGCAAGCACATTTGCAAAGCAACTTTCTTTTCAAATGGTTAGGGTGGAGGGCCAGCAACTTCCTGGGTTGTTTTTTGTTTGTTTGGCCCAGACACAAATTCATAGCAAATGTTTGGTTACTTGACTGACCCCTCTGTCTATCTAAAAATGTGTATGTGTGAGTTATTTGCTCAATCTACCAGCCTAAGCATTCCTAAAGTGGCCATAAATGAGTTGCTGATTAACTATCTGACTGACGGAGGCTGCTGTAGGCACAAGACCCCGACTATATTCAACATTCTCCACACACCATCAAGGTGCCAAATCCTAAGGAGATGACCAAGTCAGAACCACCACCCCCCAAAAGAGGCTCCTGGGCTAGAGGCTAGAAGAACAGAGGGTGGCATACCCAGCTAGTTAATTAGGGCCCAAGAGCAGACAGCAGTCAATGCCATAGCAGAGCTTACTGGAGGAACTGTCTGTCTCTCATAGATTTGGGGGCAACCTGGAAAGGGTTAACATGCTTCCCTGGGAAGAGTTTAGTTCCTTGGAAGAATCTGGGTCAGAGTATTTAGGCTGTTTTTAAAAGTCAGATGCTAAGCAGAAGCATTCCGAGAACCTTGCAAAGTCTGCATGGCAGAATGGAGAGTAACTTCATAGGCTCATCACCTTTCACCAAGAGGATTTTAAACACACAAGAAAACTCCACTATTTTCAAAAGCAACAGACAATATTCTGTCATCACCACTTTTCCATCTGTTTAAAATAAGAAAGAAAAGTCCTACCCCATTGGCCCAGGCTGCAGGTCAACAAAGGAGGCGTTGTTCATTGTCTCTTCAGAACATGATAGAGTACGGCCCACGCAGTGTGTTAACACACACACACACACACACACACACACACACACACTCCCAGAGAGGAACCCAAGGGGCAAGAGTGAGTAAATCAAGCCTGCAATGAGCTAAGATTTGGCTGCAGACTTCAGGGCTGTCCTGGAAGGTGTAAATGAGACTTGGAAGGTACATATGGTCAAAGTCACAATAATTCTTTGGACTCCAAGTTGTGGAGATACATTGCATGAAAGAATAAGCAGGTTTCTGCTGAACTTGGATCATTGGACAGTGTGCAGTCAATGCCCACGTGAGCTGGTTCTGGGCAGGTGCTTCCGGGTATTAGCCTACACCTGGCACTTAGGAACCTCCTTTACAGGCTTGAACCTCATAAGTAGGCTGACTCCAAACCCTGCAACTCACTCTCCACATTTTTGCCAGAGCCATCCTTCTACACAACTCTAGTATCCCTTCTCTGCTCAAGAGCATTTCATAGCTCTCCATTGTCTAAAGTTAAGTCCAAAGTCCTTTAGCAAAATGTCTAAGAATCTTGTGACATGGCTTCAAGCCTCCTCCTTCAGTCCCTTCTTATACTCCTGCTAGCCACACACCCTGGTCTCCAAATCATGTCCCTGAATGAGAACCTCAAGTTCCACAGTCTATACCGTTAAGGCCATAGGTACTCTCATGCTCCCCAGCTCCTTGACATTTCCAATGCCTCAAGCCCTATTTTTGTAAGATACAAAGCACGGACAACTTCCTCCGGGAAGTTTTCCAGGGTATCCCAACTTATGAGTAATTTAATTATCCTAAACCTTCCCAGCATTTTAATTCTATCCAGACACATGTCTCTATTGAACCTAGAAGATACCAGAGGAACATACTGAGAGATAGATGTTAGCTGCACTTACGAGTATAGCATCTCTAGTCTGTGGGCTTCCTGAGGGCAATAACTATCTTACTGATCACTGTATTCACCAAGTAGGCCAATTGTTGCCCATACAGGTATGCTTCAGTGTTTTCTTTAGATTTCTGATCTCTCTGTACATCATCATCTAAGCCCTAAGAGAAGGGAATAGGAGAGGAATACGTAGTCATCAATCAGAAAATCAGGGTCTGTTTGCCGTCAGAATTGACTGGAAACTCCTTGTAGGCTGCCACTGTATCTCTCAACGTGGTAATCCCAGAGTATAACATAGTCTGGCATAGTGTGGCGTTTCATAACGAAAGAAAGAGGGCGGCTTGCACAAGGTCACCCAGAATCAGGAACCACTGAATCTCGTCCGGGGGGAGATCTGGTGAAATCATTTACAACATTATCTCAGTGGGGAACTGGGAGGAAGGAAGGAATGAAGTGTCTGAGAAATGTGTGCCAGGCCTTCAGCAGCCTCCAAGCCTAAGGAGGGGGAAGGGGAGGAGGAAGGGGCGACATCAAAACGCCTGGGCTGCCCCTGAGCTGTGTGCTGAGCTCCCGGAGGCGGGAAGGGCGGAGAGGGTAGGCGACCCGGGCAAGCGAGCTGGAGGGAGGAAGAGCGGCAGCGGCGGCGGCCGGCTGGCCGGCCGGGGCAGTGCGCGTCGCCCGCCCTGCGCGGCAAATCCCCCAGGGAGGCCGCCGCCAGAGCCCTGGCGCTCCCGGCCCGGCGCCCGCCACGTGGCACCCGGCGGCGGCGGCGGCTCCTCCCGGCGCGCGGCTGGGCCAGCCGGCAGCACGCAGCCGCCCGCGCCGCCCGCCTCCTCCCTGCCGCCCGCCGGCGGCCTCCCGGGTGCAGTGAGGGGGAGCTGCCCGGCTGCCCTAGACCCCGGGAAGAGGCGGGTGGCGCGAAGCCGCTTTAACCGCAGTCGCCAAGCTGAGGCTGGAGGCTGACCCGGCCGCTTCCTAAGTGCGGTCAGGCATCTCGTGACCGCGGCGGGCGCCGGGGGCCCCGCGGGGGAAAGGAAGGAGGGCTGGCCGGGGCAAGGAGCAAACAAGAAGGCCCCTACCCACCCCCCACCCCGGGCTGCCGCTAGTGAAGCTTTCGGTCGAGTTAAAACCCCAAGCCTGAAATCTGGGGTGGAGTGGGGGTTGGAATAATTCCCCACTCTCCACCCTGGGTCGTGCGCTCCCCGCCCGGAAGGGCTGACCTTGGCGGGGGAAGGAGGGGATGAGGGGTGGTAAGCGCCAGGGCTCCGCTCCCAGCCCGCCGCCCCCTCGGATTCCTGGCCCGGCGGGGGCTGGAGGAGGAGGAGGCCCCCCGGACACACGCACTTACACACACACCCCACACCCCACACGCAGCGCGCGCCAATGAGCCCGGGCCAGGGGCAGGGGGCGGAGTTTTCCCAGGCTCAAGCACAGCAGCTGCTATTTACCTTCTTGGCTTCTCCCGGGGACCAGGAACCAGCCCCCGCGCTCTGCCGCCCGCCGCCGCCCCCCTCCTCCCTGCCCCCGGGGCGCGCTCACACACACTCACACACGCACGCACACACACATCCTCCCGGCCCGGCCGCAGCCGCGGCGGCAATAAAACATCCTGGCACGTGCTCCGGCTCCAGGCGCGCCCTCGCCGGCCGGCTGATGTCAAACTGCAGCTCGGCTGGTGTAGCTCTTAAAGGGCCCGCGCGAGTCGGGTGGCGAGGCTGCACCGGCCGCCCGCGGGGCGAGAATGAGGGAAGAGGCTGCCGCGTGACTTGCCACCTCTAAGTGTCACAGAACAGAGAGCCTGCGGGTGGAAAGGGAAAGGGTGGCGAGAACGCGCTTGCGTCCTTGAGGCATTGCCATCCAAGTCCCACTTGTTCACCTTTCATTTGAAATTCTATTTTCTTTCTCCCAGTTGGAAATTATTCTGATTATTTCCTGGGGAAGCAGGGGGAAGGGGGGGCGGTCCAAGCCCTAACTCCTTAAGAGGAATGAGGGGCAGGATTAAAAACCAACTTGCTCTGAATAACCTGCAAATATAAGGTGAAGACATTTTTTTCCTTTTCTGCATACAAAAAAAATTTTTTTGTCCTTTTCCTCTGTGATCGACTTTCAATATCCCCCCCCCCTCCAATGCATAGTCTGAGCGGGAAATAACTTACATGTTTCGGTAACTCACACCCTTGCACACGTTCCTCCTGTTCTTTTAACTATTGTAAGTATAATCTTTTAGCTCTGTCTTTCTAAACCTTTTAAAAATATTTTCAAATGAACTTACGAGCGTCAAGGCAGCTCTAGCTCTATTACACATCTGAAAGGAAATAACGAGCAAAGGCCCTAGCCCCCAAAGAAATAAACTGGACTAGAGCAAAATCAATGCGGAAAAAATCCTGCCTAAACCAAAGCCCAGCAGGGATAATACCAAAGGGTTAAAATCCTTTTGATTGACGTTGTAGCCTCCGGTGCCCCGGGCTCAGGCGCGCGCCATTGGCCGCCAGGCCTTGTGCCTGGCGGCCAATGGGGGGGCGCGGTCCACGAGCGGTGCCGCGTGTCTCCTCCTCCTATTGGCTGAAAGTTACTGTGGGAAAGAAAGTTTGGGAAGTTTCACACGAGCCGTTCGCGTGCAGTCCCAGATATATATAGAGGCCGCCAGGGCCTGGGGATCACACAGGATCCGGAGCTGGTGCTGATAACAGCGGAATCCCCTATCTACCTCTCTCCTTGGTCCTGGAATAGCGCTACGATCACCAAGTAGCCATAAGATATAATAAACCGTCAGCACTTGCTCAGTAGTTTTGTGACAGTCTCTAGTAAAAGGGACATAAAACAATTTTTTTTTGTTTGAAGGACTCCAAAAATAAAATTCTCTAGGGATTAAAAAAACCAACAAAATGCCAGCTGATATAATGGAGAAAAATTCCTCGTCCCCGGTGGCTGCTACTCCAGCCAGTGTCAACACGACACCGGATAAACCAAAGACAGCATCTGAGCACAGAAAGGTAAGGACAGTACCTGTATCTCTCTGCAGCCCCAGCAAATTAAGCCGGGGTTGCGGCGGTGGGGCGGGGGACGGGGGGGGGGGATCCTTTATCTCTAAAAATCCCCGAGGGTGAAGTGGCAGGTCCCGTGGAAACTCGGGGCTCTTATTATTTTTTAATTTCTTTACAGTCGTCAAAGCCTATCATGGAAAAGAGACGAAGAGCAAGAATAAATGAAAGCCTGAGCCAGCTGAAAACACTGATTTTGGATGCTCTTAAGAAAGATGTAAGTGGACAATGCTGCTTTGTTTTTAATTCAAAAGGTGAAATATTATTTCTCAGGTATGAAGAATGAAATACCCTCTTCGGTGGATCTTCCCCGCCAGCACTACGTAGTCTGAGGAGGGAGAGTCGTCGGTCCGCTTTAGCTGGGGTCGGGGGAGGTCGGCGCCATGGGAGGGACCCCCAGCACTCTGAGGCTGCTGGCAGGCGTCTCACTGGCCTTTCTTGCCTCTTCTATGCAGAGCTCGCGGCATTCCAAACTGGAGAAAGCAGACATTCTGGAAATGACAGTGAAGCACCTCCGGAACCTGCAGCGGGCACAGATGACGGGTGAGGGCAGCTTGCCGCGTCCCCCTCAGCGGGCGTCCCTCTCGCCCGGCGGTGATTTCTTCCAGACTTCCGCCCGTGGTTGTGAGAGGCATTCAGCTACATTTTACAGCCTTGGCTCACGCTTACGTTCCCACGGTCTGGGGCTTATTTATAGCCACAACTCCAAGTTGTTACTGTTCCGGAAAGGGAGGGAGAGTGGTTGCAGCGGCGAGGGCGGCGGGCAGCTTGGCAGTGGGGAAAGCGGGTGGGGGCATAGGACTTAGAACTGTGGCGGTTTTGAACCACGTAGAGCCTGAGGGTCTTCTGGTTTAGCACTCCCTCCTCCCTCATGAACAGAAGGGGAAGTGAGGTTCGTATATCGGGGAAGGGCATTACCCAAGGTCACATCGCACGCTCTGGGGGGTGCACATCTAGGGCTGAGGTCCTTTTAAAGCGAGCGACTGGGAACGGAGAGAGGGAGCGCCTTGACTTAAGTCACCGTGGTAGTGTAGACTAGGGCACAGTTTTAATAAACCCACCCGTCCTAGTCGGAGGTAGTTCTGCGTCCCAGTGGCGAGGGAGGCGCGCCGCGGGGACCTCCCAAGGCGGAGGCGGTGGCCTCGGGGCCGGGGCCTTTCTTTGACCCGTCTGTCTCCTTCTGGCCTGCAGCCGCGCTAAGCACAGACCCGAGCGTTCTGGGGAAGTACCGCGCGGGTTTCAGCGAGTGCATGAACGAGGTGACCCGCTTCCTGTCCACGTGCGAGGGCGTTAACACCGAGGTGCGCACGCGGCTGCTTGGCCACCTGGCCAACTGCATGACCCAGATCAACGCCATGACCTACCCCGGGCAGCCGCACCCGGTCTTGCAGGCGCCGCCACCGCCCCCGCCAGGACCCGGCGGTCCGCAGCACGCGCCGTTCGCGCCGCCGCCACCGTTGGTGCCCATACCCGGGGGCGCGGCGCCCCCTCCCGGCGGCGCGCCCTGCAAGCTGGGCAGCCCGGCTGGAGAGGCGGCTAAGGTGTTCGGTGGCTTCCAGGTGGTGCCGGCTCCTGACGGCCAGTTTGCCTTCCTCATCCCCAACGGGGCCTTCGCTCACAGTGGCCCCGTCATCCCAGTTTACACCAGCAACAGCGGGACCTCCGTGGGACCCAACGCAGTGTCGCCTTCCAGCGGCCCTTCGCTCACGGCGGACTCCATGTGGAGGCCCTGGCGGAACTGAGGGGCTCAGGATACCCCTCCCCCAAAGTCCCCAAACCCCTCTCTCTTCCCTCGTGACACTAAACAGGAACTTGGACTCTGGGAGAGAAGAGGACTTTTGTGATTAAGTGGTTACTTTGGTTTTTTTTTAATTTCTAAAAAGTTACTTTTTTGTAGAGAGCTGTATTAAGTGACTGACCATGCACTATATTTGTATATATTTTATATGTTCATATTGGATTGCGCCTTTGTATTATAAAAGTTCAGATGACATTTCGTTTTTTACACGAGATTTCTTTTTTATGTGACGCCAAAGATGTTTGAAAATGCTCTTAAAATATCTTCCTTTGGGGAAGTTTATTTGAGAAAATATAATAAAAGAAAGAAGTGAATGCTTTTATGTCTTAAAACTGATTATTTCAGAATATATAAAAACGTTCTTGGCAGAATTTGAATTACATGTAATCTGAGAATTCAGGAGTTGACTCTTGTTATTCAAAGAACATTTTTTAAAAATCATTTCACCATGAACTATATTCCATTTAATTTGCAAGAACCCATCTGATATGGCTTCTCTGATCAATTTGTGGTAAATCTTTGAAAGGATTTCAAACATTTAGTTACAGGTGGGTAGGTCATTCAGTGTGCTTGCTCCTTCTGAGGAAGGTTGAATGGGACTGACTTCTTGAAGCTACAGGATGTGGTACCATTGCCCAGGTCACATTAAGGGAGGCTCCTGAGCATTACTCCCCTGGGGTAGATCATAAGCATCCGAAGTAAAAACACTTAACTGCTACAGCCTCCAGCCTTCAAGGGTTAGAGCCTTCCTTTAATTAGCCAGTCCTCAGGTTCAGCTAGACATTCCCTTGTCCCGGCATCCAAAAGTTTGACTTGCCTCTCTGCACCTTCTTCAGGCAAGCTGAGAAGGTCAACAGATTCCTTCTGCCAAGGGACAGCT